CCTCATCCAGTTGACATCAGCCCACTGCTCCAGCCTGTCCAGACCCCTCTGCAGAGCCTTCTACCCTCAAGCAGATCAACACTCCCGCTTAATTTTGTGTCATCTGCAAATTCACTGAGGGTGCATTTGATCCCCTCATCCAGATCATTGATAAATATATTAAAAAAGATTGGTCCCAAAACCAAGCCCTGAGGGACACTGCTCATGACAAGTCACCAACAGGATTTAACTCCATTCACCACAACTCTCTGGGCTCGGCCATCCAGACAGTTTTTAACCCAGCGAAGAGTCTCAGGATTCAAGGGGCAGCCTCCCCAGTGCCCAGTCCAGAGGGATGATCCCTACCCTAGTCCTAATTCACCATTTCAAGGTGTTTCCAGCTCAAATCTCCACTCCAGGACCCTCAGGTCACCCCATGTGATGCTGGATGGTCCTTCAAATCCACCTGAGCCACATTCAAAGCACAGAATCCTCTTAAAACCTCTAGGAAAGAATTTGATGCTTACATACCTGTGTCACCAGCAGCTTCTGCCATCCCTGATGCCTCTGAGGGGGCAGCGGCACCCGTCAGGGACACGTGTGTCCCTCAACTCCACCACAACCAAGGGCAGCAGAGTCAGGAACAGCCTGAGACCACAGCAGGGTCCTTTGCCGTCCCAGGGCTTTGCCAGAGTGCTCCTGTGGGGCACTGGAGGAGACAAAAACCTCATAATCCCACCCCCAGACCCCAAATCACACCCTCCCCCAACAAACCCCCCCAAAAAGAAATCATACCCCCCCCCTATATTTCCCCCCTAAAAAAACTCCACCCTGCCCCAAAACCTCATAATCCCACCAAAACCTTACAGTCTCCTCCAAAAACCTCACAATCCATCCAAAACCCCTCAAATGCTCTCCAAAAGCCTCATAACCCCCAAACCTGCTCATAATCCCCCAAAATACCATAGTCACTCCAAAAACACTCATACATTCCCAAAACCTCATAACCCCCCAAAAAAACTCATAGTCCCACCAAAACTTCATGACCCCTTGAAAAACCTCCTACCCACAAAAAAAAACCTCATTATCTCTCTTAACCTCATAATCCCTCCAAAAGTCAATCCCCCCAAAACCCTCATAATGCCCCCCAAAAATTATAACCCCCAA